TGTTAATGTTCTAGTGTTGTGTTGGTGTTCTAGTGTTGTGTTAAATGTTCTAGTGTTGTGTTGGTGTTCTAGTGTTGTGTTAATGTTCTAGTGTTGTGTTAATGTTCTAGTGTTGTGTTAATGTTCTAGTGTTGTGTTAATGTTCTAGTGTTGTGTTAATGTTCTAGTGTTGTGTTAATGTTCTAGCGTTGTGTTAATGTTCTAGTGTTGTGTTAATGTTCTAGTGTTGTGTTGGTGTTCTAGTGTTGTGTTAATGTTCTAGTGTTGTGTTAATGTTCTAGTGTTGTGTTAATGTTCTAGTGTTGTGTTGTGTGTTCTAGTGTTGTGGTTAATGTTCTAGTGTTGTGTTAATGTTCTAGTGTTGTGTTGGTGTTCTAGTGTTGTGTTTAATGTTCTAGTGTTGTGTTAATGTTCTAGTGTTGTGTTAATGTTCTAGTGTTGTGTTGGTGTTCTAGTGTTGTGTTAGTGTTCTAGTGTTGTGTTAATGTTCTAGTGTTGTGTTAATGTTCTAGTGTTGTGTTAATGTTCTAGTGTTGTGTTAATGTTCTAGTGTTGTGTTAATGTTCTAGTGTTGTGTTAATGTTCTAGTGTTGTGTTAATGTTCTAGTGTTGTGTTAATGTTCTAGTGTTGTGTTAATGTTCTAGTGTTGTGTTAATGTTCTAGTGTTGTGTTAATGTTCTAGTGTTGTGTTAATGTTCTAGTGTTGTTAGTGTTATAGTGTTGTTAGTGTTCTAGTGTTATAGTGTTGTGTTAGTGTTCTAGTGTTGTTAGTGTTCTAGTGTTGTGTTAGTGTTCCAGTGTTGTTAGTGTTCTAGTGTGTGTAGTGTTATAGTGTTGTGTTAGTGTTCTAGTGTTGTTAGTGTTATAGTGTTGTTAGTGTTATAGTGTTGTTAGTGTTCTAGTGTTATAGTGTTGTGTTAGTGTTCTAGTGTTGTTAGTGTTCTAGTGTTGTGTTAGTGTTCCAGTGTTGTTAGTGTTCTAGTGTTGTTAGTGTTCTAGTGTTGTTAGTGTTCTAGTGTTGTTAGTGTTCTAGTGTTGTTAGTGTTCTAGTGTTGTTTTTAGTGTTCTAGTGTTGTTTAGTGTTCTAGTGTTGTGTTAGTGTTCTAGTGTTGTGTTGGTGTTCTAATGTTGTGTTGGTGCTCTAATCTTGTGTTGGTGTTCTAGTGTTGTGTGGTGTTCTACTGTTGTGTTAGTGATCTAGTGTTGTGTTGGTGTTCTAGTGTTGTGTTAGTGATCTAGTGTTGTGTTGGTGTTCTAGTGTTAGTGATCTAGTGTTGTGTTAGTGTTCTAGTGTTGTTAGTTATCTAGTGTTGTGTTAGTGTTCTAGTGTTGTTAGTGTTCTAGTGTTGTGTTAGTGTTCTAGTGTTGTGTTGGTGTTCTAGTGTTGTTAGTGTTCTAGTGTTGTGTTGGTGTTCTAGTGTTTTGTGTTAGTGTTCTAGTGTTGTGTTAGTGTTTCTAGTGTTGTGCTAGTGTTCTAGTGTTGTGTTAGTGATCTAGTGTTGTGTTAGTGTTCTAGTGTTGTGCTAGTGTTCTAGTGTTGTGTTAGTGATCTAGTGTTGTGTTCTAGTGTTGTGTTGGTGTTCTAGTGTTGTGTTAGTTTTCTAGTGCTGTGTTAGTGTTCTAGTGTTGTGTTGGTGTTCTAGTGTTGTGTTAGTGTTTAGTGTTGTGTTGGTGTTCTAATGTTGTGTTGGGTGTTCTAGTGTTGTGTTAGTGTTCTAGTGTTGTGTTAGTGATCTAGTGTTGTGTTGGTGTTCTCAGTGTTGTGTTAGTGATCTAGTTTTGTGTTGGTGTTCTAGTGTTGTGTTGGTGTTCTAGTGTTGTTTAGTGTTCTAGTGTTGTGTTGGTGTTCTAGTGTTGTGTTAGTGATCTAGTGTTGTGTTAGTGTTCTAGTGTTGTGTTGGTGTTCTAGTGTTGTGTTAGTGTTCTAGTGTTGTGTTGGTGTTCTAGTGTTGTGTTAGTGATCTAGTGTTGTGTTAGTGTTCTAGTGTTGTGTTAGTGATCTAGTGTTGTGTTGGTGTTCTAGTGTTGTGTTAGTGATCTAGTGTTGTGTTAGTGTTCTAGTGTTGTGTTGGTGTTCTAGTGTTGTGTTAGTGTTCTAGTGTTGTGTTGGTGTTCTAGTGTTGTGTTGGTGTTCTAGTGTTGTGTTTGTGATCTAGTGCTGTGTTGGTGTTCTAGTGTTGTGTTAGTGTTCTAGTGTTGTGTTTGGTGTTCTAGTCTTGTGTTGGTGTTCTAGTGTTGTGTTAATGTTCTAGTGTTGTGTTGGTGTTCTAGTGTTGTGTTGGTGTTCTAGTGTTGTGTTAGTGACCTAGTGTTGTGTTGGTGTTCTAGTGTTGTGTTGGTGTTCTAGTGTTGTGTTGGTGTTCTAGTGTTGTGTTAGTGATCTAGTGTTGTGTTAGTGATCTAGTGTTGTGTTAGTGTTCTAGTGTTGTGTTGGTGTTCTAGTGTTGTGTTAGTGTTCTAGTGTTGTGTTGGTGTTCTAGTGTTGTGTTGGTGTTCTAGTGTTGTGTTGGTGTTCTAGTGTTGTGTTGGTGTTCTAGTGTTGTGTTAGTGATCTAGTGTTGTGTTGGTGTTCTAGTGTTGTGTTAGTGTTCTAGTGTTGTTTTAGTGTTCTAGTTTTGTGTTAGTGTTCTAGTGTTGTGCTAGTGTTCTAGTATTGTGTTGGTGTTCTAGTGTTGTTAGTGATCTAGTGTTGTATTAGTGTTCTAGTGTTGTGTTAGTGATCTAGTGTTGTGTTGGTGTTCTAGTGTTGTGTTGGTGTTCTAGAGTGTTGTGTTAGTGTTCTAGTGTTGTGTTAGTGTTCTAGTGTTGTTAGTGTTCTAGAGTGTGTGTTGGTGTTCTAGTGTTGTGTTGGTATTCTAGAGTGTTGTGTTAGTGTTCTAGTGTTGCGTTAGTGTTCTAGTGTTGTGTTAGTGTTCTAGTGTTGTGTTGGTGTTCTAGTGTTGTGTTGGTGTTCTAGTGTTGTGCTGGTGTTCTAGTGTTGTGTTGGTGTTCTAGTGTTGTGCTGGTGTTCTAGTGTTGTTAGTGTTCTAGTGTTGTGTTTAGTGTTCTAGTGTTGTGTTGGTGTTCTAGTTTTGTGTTGGTGTTCTAGTGTGCTGGTGTTCTAGTGTTGTGTTAGTGTTCTAGTGTTGTTAGTGTTCTTGTGTTGTTAGTGTTCTAGTGTTGTCTTAGTGTTCTAGTGTTGTTAGTGTTCTAGTGTTGCTAGTGTTCTAGTGTGTTAGTGTTCTAGTGTTGTGTTTAGTGTTCTAGTGTTGCTAGTGTTCTAGTGTTGTTTAGTGTTCTAGTCTTGTCTTACTTTTCTAGTGTTGTTAGTGTTCTAGTGTTGTTAGTGTTCTAATGTTGTCTTAGTGTTCTAGTGTTGTTAGTGTTTCTAGTGTTGTAGTGTTCTAGTGTTGTTAGTGTTCTAGTGTTGTGTTAGTGTTCTAGTGTTGTTAGTGTTCTAGTGTTGTGTTAGTGTTCTAGTGTTGTTAGTTTTAGTGTTGTTAGTGTTCTAGTGTTGTTAGTGTTCCAGTGTTGTTAGTGTTCTAGTGTTGTGTTAGTGTTCTAGTGTTGTTAGTGTTCTAGTGTTGTTAGTGTTCTAGTGTTGTTAGTGTTCTAGTGTTGTTAGTGTTCTAGTGTTGTTAGTGTTCTAGTGTTGTTAGTGTTCTAGTGTTGTTTGTGTTCTAGTGTTGTGTTAGTGTTCTAGTGTTGTTAGTGTTCTAGTGTTGTTAGTGTTCTAGTGTTGTTAGTGTTCTAGTGTTGTTAGTGTTCTAGTGTTGTGTTAGTGTTCTAGTGTTGTTAGTGTTCTGGTGTTGTTAGTGTTCTAGTGTTGTTAGTGTTCTAGTGTTGTGTTAGTGTTCTAGTGTTGTTAGTTTTAGTGTTGTTAGTGTTCTAGTGTTGTTAGTGTTCTGGTGTTGTTAGTGTTCTAGTGTTGTTAGTGTTCTGGTGTTGTTAGTGTTCTAGTGTTGTTAGTGTTCTAGTGTTGTGTTAGTGTTCTAGTGTTGTTAGTTTTAGTGTTGTTAGTGTTCTAGTGTTGTTAGTGTTCCAGTGTTGTTAGTGTTCTAGTGTTGTGTTAGTGTTCTAGTGTTGTTAGTGTTCTAGTGTTGTTAGTGTTCTAGTGTTGTTAGTGTTCTAGTGTTGTTAGTGTTCTAGTGTTGTTAGTGTTCTAGTGTTGTTAGTGTTCTAGTGTTGTGTTAGTGTTCTAGTGTTGTTAGTGTTCTAGTGTTGTTAGTGTTCTAGTGTTGTTAGTGTTCTAGTGTTGTTAGTGTTCTAGTGTTGTTAGTGTTTCTAGTGTTGTTAGTGTTCTAGTGTGTCAGACAACTAACCTAGCATGGCTCAGATGTTATAAACTCGGGGTCAGTAAAATGACTTTAAAAATCCACTTCTGTAATTGAGTGTATATATATATATATATATATATATATATAATATATATATTATATATATATATATATATATATATATATATATATATATATAGCATGCTGAACTATATTTTTTTTATCTATGCAGTATACATACGTATATTTATAAACAAGGGAGCTAAACATGTATGGGTCACAGAATATCAAACTCTGTATTTTTGCGATTGTGAGAATTTGAAGCCTTATCTGACTGTCTTGAATATAGGTATGGATCTCTCTAGTAGATTATAATTATCATCATGGGGTGGGAGGTAATCGGGTTTGATCCGAGGAACTGGAGTGTTGTTCAAATTCGTAGCATCAAGGGGCACTTCTCTCTCTAAGTGAAAGGTAGAGACACTCACCCTGTGTGAGTGCTTTGTGGAGTGTTATCAAGTTGACTATAAAACTCTACACTGAGCAAAACGTTGTTTTGGTTCTTGTGACTTTTCGGTAATACTCCGTTTCGCCGTTAACTCCTTCCTGGGTTGTTTCAGAATCCAGGTGTCACTACAATAACAAAGACAGTTATTTGAGAGTTAATATTGAGTCCTTTTCTTGTTATTCGATACAGCTCTCTTACTGACAGGCGCAAGAGACAGCCATATCGGAGGCAAAGGTCACATTGCGCTCTCCGTTATACCAGGGTCGCAATACTCGAGGTCCTCGACACCTTTGCTTCTTGCTGGACAGTTGGAGTAAGCGTCTCGCACCTCGTCTTCGGCTAGTGGCGCCATTTTGATGATTGTTCGCTGGGACCCGTCATGTATGAGAGTAGGCTGGGACCCTTCTGGTATGGGAGTAGGATGAGACCCCTCAGGTATGGGAGTAGGATGGGACCTTTCAGGTACGGGAATAGGCTGGGATCCATTATGGACGGGAGAATCCTGGGACCCTCTAGGAAATGGAGTGTGCTGGGACCTACTAACTGAGGGATCAGCCATTGGTTGAATATCTCCATCGCCGTTACGAGTCTGGTTGAACACTCTTGGTGGCTTCGGTGGTGGCGTTAATTCCGAAGCTTTTTTGCCCCTCTGAACATTAGAAATAGCAGAACTCGTATCCTCCTCAGGTGCCATATTTCCCGAATCCGCCTTGGGCTCTTCACGAACAGTCATGGAATGTCGACACTCTGACACCTCTTTGTTATTGTCACTAAATCGCACAAGTTTTCTATCACCACGCGCCTTTGGATGTTTTTTCGTGCAATTATTGTTTTTACACGCCTTTGGAGAGCTGTGAACTCCTTGGGCACTAGCACGTATTTGTGAAGTGCAGTGTATGTACGAGGTGTCTGTGGCGAGGGGATGGAATGAAGCATCAACGTTAGGATGTAAGGTATCCCGTGACGCAGGGCTGTGAAGCAGGGAATTCCCTGACGCAGGGCTGCGTGACAAGGCTTTCCTTGACGCAGGGTTGTGAAGAGGGGAATTACCTGACGCAGGGCTGCGTGACAAGGCTTTCCTTGACGCAGGGCTGTGAAGAGGGGAATTCCCTGACGCAGAGCTGCCTGACAAGACTTTCCTTGACGCTGGGCTGTGAAGCGGGGAATTCCCTGATGAGAGCTGCCTGACAAGACTTTCCTTGACGCTGGCTGAAGCGGGAATTCCCTGTGTAGGGCTGCTGACAAAGCTTCCTTGCGCAGAACGTCGATGTCCGGTGTACTACTAACTCAGCTGTGGGAGGTAATACACTCAGCTGTTTCCCCTTGGCTGCTACTGGTGCTGTTGTTGTTGGTACTGGTGCTGGTCCTGCCGCTGGTGTTACTGCTGCTGCTAGTGTTGCTGCTGCTCTACCTTCTGCGGAGTTGCTGCAGGACCCACTCCTGGAGTTACTCTCCTACGGGAAAATACAACCCTTTTCCATGCATATTGCAACTGCATACTGTAAAACCCCTACTGCAGAAAGAAATGAAACTTTGCTTTGTTAAAAAGTTTGAAAAAATTTCAAAATTCTTAAATACAAAACAATGCCTTCTTAAAGAAAATTCCTCACTACACGACCAAAAAAAAAAAAAACTTCACCTTTTTTAACATGTCACTTCCTATATACTTACAATCTTTGTTTCTCCTCTATCTTGCCCCAACTCTTCTCTGTGCCCATTCTTACCAGCCCGAAAGCCCCCCCTCCCCCCCCCAAAAAAAAATCATAAATCTTCCACACTACAAATATTAGCATCTAATTTATTCCGTTGTGTTTTGCCTGATGAGAATAAAATATTCTTCCTCTTCTTCTTCTATTTTTTCTCTTCTCTTTTCTCATACTTATAAAAAGTTGTTACTTTATACTTTTCGGTCATGACTTACTTCTGACTTTCTTTTAGTTATGTACGATATTCCAGATGAATAATTTGATATTATGGCCACAAGAAAGATGATTTACAATAAACAGCATGGCAGTAACAGCCTGGTTGATCAGGCCCTGATCCACCACGAGACCTGGTCATAGACCGGGCCGAGGAGGCGTTGACCCCTGGAACTCCCTCCAGGTATACTCCAGGTATGGTCTTATACACTGCAGTACCCAGTCAGTCAGGGGCGGACCTACATTTTTGGGTCCCTGAAGTTTGAACTGTTATGGGGTCACCTTGGCAACCATGGGTAACCATGGCAACCATGGGGTCACCATGGCAACCATGGGGTCACCATGGCAACCATGGGGTCACCATGGCAACCATGGGGTCACCATGGCAACTATGGGGTCACCATGACAACCATGGGGTCACCATGGCAACCATGGGGTCACCATGACAACCATGGGGTCACCATGGCAACCATGGGGTATACAACATGGTCTGACAACCATGGGGTCACCATGACAACCATGGGGTCACCATGACAACCATGGGGTCACCATGACAACCATGGGGTCACCATGGCAACCATGGGGTCACCATGGCAACCAGCAACAGCAAGCCTACATTTGAATTTTTATTTTAACTATTATTTTTTATAGAATTACACTATATTACTAATACATTACCTTAAAAAAAAACCTCATGCAGCAGACCCAAAAAATTTAAGCGATGTGGACTAAAGTGGCTTCTGGGGCCCCTCCGGAATTAGGGGCCCTAAAGCTTAAGCTTCATGAGTTTCAAGGTAGATCTGTCCCTGGGTATACTCCCGTCATATACTCAGCTCTACTCTGTTATACACCCATTACTATACACTCATTATATACGTATTATATAATTACAGTCATCACCAGGCTGTTAACACTAAACACTCACTCGTAGTGGTGATTCCGCTTGTCCATGTTTTGAGCTGTTTATAACTCTTCCATTTACTTGTACGTGTGTGAGGGTGTCTGCATGTACGTGCACTAGTGGTTCACGCTGTCCGTGTGCGTCGGCCAGCACGTCCACACTGCGTTGTCTACGCTGTGAGGAGGACACGAGGTCAGGGTCCTGGCACTCCCACCCCTCACCGGCAGGTGCCAGCACCAAGGTGTGGCCGCCCCTCCTGTGAGGGTGAGCGTGCACAGCAACCACCACACTCACTAGCAGCACCACCACCACCATCACAGCTACTCCCACCACTGCTCCCAGCATAGTAGCAACACCACTACCATCACTCTCAGACTCTGCAAGAAATAAATATTTATCTCAGTTTACCTTGAAAAATATATTTCACATTCTCGTTTCGTTCATGTTTCTCTTTAATCCCGGCTTCATTTTGAACGTTTTGGAACAGATATCAATGTTCTGACTTTGTCTAGCAAGAACCCCAATGGGAATAAATCAGTGACCTTTTTCAGGGGTTATTTACGTAATTGGCACATATGTTAAATTATGTGTGATAATGGCACCTATTTATACCTGTACCTAAAAGGTTTCTTGCTACCTAATCTTTGTAAGGATGATGAACTATCCTCATGTACAATGATGAGGGACACTCGTTGCTTAATTGCTAGAGGCTTTAGCTCACAATCTGAGGGACCGGAGTTCAACCCCTGGACGAGTGGAAACGTTGAGTATATTTCCTAACACCTTCTGTCCCACTATTCACCTGGCAGTAAGTAGGTACCGGGGTGTTAGCCGACTATTGTGGGTCACATTCTGGGAAGAGGACTCAAGAGCCTAATGGAAATAAGCCAGTCTGCAGACAGTGGTTTTACTGGGTTACCCTGGGTTACTAACTCTGGATGAATAATCCATACAAAATCTTCTTCTCTTACACCTAATGAAGCAACTTAAGTTCCTTATTTCTTAAACATAAAGTTAACTTATCTTAGTTCTTTAGTAATAGACATCAGGTCAGCCAGTAACTTTTATCAAATAAAAATACAAATCTTTATTTCAAAATTACTGTGTAAAACATAATCTGAAGGTCCACAGGATGCATAGGATTTCGGGCAAAAATCAATACAGTACATGAAAGAAGGTCAGTGGAAGAAGAAAGAGTCAGTCCCTCAGCCTTGGTATTGTATACCAGTCATGTATTGACAAACTTCAGTGTAATACCTGGTATATACTCGCTACTCCAGTCCCCTCACACTGCTTCATCCACTCGCTTACCCGACCTCTCACCTATATAAATTAATATTCCTATTTTCATTAGCCTGCTAGAACAACATCTGTGTAACAACAGCTGCAGCTACCATAAATCAATATATTTACGATCTTTTCCTCCTCGACATATTAACCTAAACATTTCATGAAAACAACGGCTACAACTAACTATATTAACCTAAACGTCAGAGGGAGGCTGTTCTTAATGTTTCAAGGCGCCGCAAGAACCAGCTTCACCTTCTACGTGACTGTCGTGCTTAACAAGTTTTGCTGCTTCACTTCCTTCTCTTCATTTCTCTAACCTAAACACAGTCATAGAGCGCCTGGGGGATGGCAGGTTGTCAGCTACGATCCAAGAACCGCTACTTGTGATAGTTGTCCATTGTGTAGCAAGAAGCTTATTAACAGGTGCGCAACGTGGATGTGTCGACAGGTTTTGACAGGTTCCCAAAGTGTGTTAACAGGTGCACAACGTGTGTTGATAAGGGCACAATGTATGTGTTGACAGGGGCACGAGGTGTGTTAACAAGGGCACAACGGGTATGTTAACAGGTACACAACGTGGTGTGGTAAAATTTTATTTGGATTACTAACCCGGAGAATCAACAAGCCAGACTAACCCAAGAATGTCAGCGTGGCTTATTTCCACTGGAGACCTCTGGTTCTGTTCCCCCCATGATGCTACTCAACAGCCAGTTAAAACCCAGGTCCATATTTTCTTCCAGGTAAACACTGACAGCAAGCAAATATGGCCGACCTCTCCACTCGTCGTAGAATCGAACCCAGATCCCTAGGTTGTGACCGGAAGGTTATACCACTAGATTTCTATTGATCCAAATCCAATCAACCTACATCATTCATTCTCTTAAACAATGTATGATTATGGTGAATAAATTTGTAGTGAATGAGATGAAGTTCAGTACCTGGCGCAGCGCGGTGTTGTGCGCTGGCAGTATGCGCCTCCAGACGCAGTGCGTCGCTCCTGCCGCGGGCGTTGAGGGCGGTGACCCTCAGAGTGATGCCGGAGCCAGACTCTAGACCGTCCACGACCCACTCTGGATACTCACTGCAAGTCACAATACGACCATCATTTACCACTCACTGTAAATACCACAGTGACATTCATGTACCACTCATTGTACACACAACTAACATTCATGAAGTCAGATACACAAGTACTGTACGTTTCGATCTGTCAGTGAAGCCATCTTCAGCAGATCGGAAACTACAGTTCAAATAGCATCGAAACCTCTAAATTGTCGACAATCATTAACCATCTTGCTAACTCATCATCTAATAATTGCTGTTTTATTGACGCAACGAATATTTACTTAATTGACACCTCACTGATTACTATTTCGTGAAGAGGAGAAAAGTCAAAGTGGCTGGAATTATTATTCGCTTGTTTCCTCTTCTGCTTTTTATCTCTGGTTCACTTGTGACTTGACAATACGGATATTAAAACGGTGTAAAATACCAACAGGTTGTTGTTACCTAACAACCTGTCGGTGTTTTATACCGTGTTAATATTCACTGTCAGACACTGCAACATTACCTAACAACTTGACAATAATCCAGGACGGAGGCAAACGTCGTCAGAAATTCTCTCCAGTGCGGGGAAATTGGTACATTTCTCTTTTTATCTTAAGATTACAAACTCATGTACACAAATTCACTCGTAGTAAGAGAATTTACAACGTAACTGAGGAATGGTGTAACCGATAAGTGGGGGAAAAGTGCGGTACAGCCACAGAAGACCTTTATTGATACAACGTTTCACCCACACGAGGGTTTATCAGGTATCTTAATAAAGTTGTTAGGTAAGACACATATGCAACAGTTAGGTATCTTTATTATGAAACGTTTCGCCTACACAGTAGGCTTCTTCACTCAAGTACAGAAAAGTTGATAGAAGAAGAAGATACTTGAAGACGATGTAATCAGTCCATCACCCTTAAAGTTTTGAGGTGGTCAGTCCCTCAGTCTGGAGAAGAGCATTGTTCCATAGTATGAAACAATATGGAGATGAAGTGACAGGATGGAGCTTTTTACAGCGCCAAGAGGTGAGACGTAGGCCACTAGGAGAGGTAAGAACTCAGATGCTGAGAGGTCAGGTCCCTCTCAAATCCAGCCGCTCTCACTAGTGGAAGTTGTCGAAGTTGATTGCAGGTCTGTACCAAGATACCCTTGTGTTGCAGTGTCTGACAGATTGAACATTAAAATGGTATAAAATACCGACATACCTGTCGGTATTTTATACCATTTTAATGTTCTATCTTAATAAAGCCTCGAGTAGGTGAAACGTCGTTCCAGTAAAGATCTTTTGCTGTATGTGTTGTTTTAAAGAAAACCTAAGAAATGTTTATGTAGCGGAGGTCGACCTGGTAATGTTAGCCACGAGTGTTCCCTCCTGCCAAGCCTCCATCAGGAACTCCTGGGGAAGGCCACCATTGTAGCCCTCGTAGCAGATGACGGTGAGTGACGAGGTGTGGGCGTCGTCTTGGGCGGCGTCAGTAGAGGTGGCTGAGCAGTTGGTGGGCGTGTCTGGAGGCCCAGCTGGCACGAGTGTCACCACACACGACTCCAGCTGGCGACCAATAACATTGGAGGCGCGACACAACACCTGGTCGTGGGTTACAAGAGGACGCAGCAGGTGATAATTCCATTGGAAATTTTCAAAAATAAAATAGCATAGAAAAAATATTGAATATGGTACATCAAGATATTAATGGGGTTGAAAGCCTATCTACTACACGAGGATCATTAAGGATCCATGTCACCAGTTCACCACCAGTCAGGAATACTTTAATACATAAAACAGAGGTGAACTCAAGCTCTCAGCGTATATACCCTGAGAGATAGACACCTCACTGTGTATATACCCTTGGGAATGGCTCTGCTTCAGTAGTTACAAATAGATCATAACGGAGGAACACTGCAGCAAGCCTACTGACCCATAATAAGCAGGTCCCACTCAAGCCCACCAACAAAAATATTTATCCAAGTCATTTCCAATGTTACCCAAGGAAATAGGTAAGACCCACACCTTGCCATAGTCCGCCGGGGTGAGAGGCGTCACCACAACACTGGAGGCCAGACCGTCGCATCGTATATCCTCATCAGCTAGGGGAAGCTCACTACCGTCCTCCACAAGCCAAGCCCACTCCCACGTCAGTGTGTGGGCAGGGAGGGCCTCCACCCTGCAGGTGACCACTGTGGGCGTGCCCCTGGTGGCACCCTGCACACGGTGCATCACGCCCCCAGCACACACTGGCGCATCTGACGACATAAAACCCACTTTCACTTCAATGAAAAAAAAAAATACTTTCTATAATTACTGAGAAGAAAGCCAGAGAAATGAAAGATAACCAACTTTGACTCAAAAAAAAAAATGAAAGATGCCTTAAAATTTCTCACAGTTCCTTGATAATGTAAGAAATCACGAGAGCACCTGGAATTTCACTATTCTTTCACATCGTTGTTCTGCACATAAATATATATTAGTGCCTTGAACTAATAGGCCTACACCGGCATAAAAACCACTCCATACTCCTAAAACAACATCTATTTTGAAAATTTAATTATAAACTTGTATAAATAAATAGATTTACGATAACCGTTGTATATCTTGATAAGCTGAAATTGTGACGTTTCACAGACTTTATTGTCACTTGTCAAACAACAAGATTAAATAAAAAGTCTTTCAACTAACATTAAACAAATAAACGTCGAAGATTTGCTTCTCGTATTAGTTTGCTAGCTAGGAGCTATGTGCTAGCTAGGAGCTATGTGCTAGCTAGGAGCTATGTGCTAGCTAGGAGCTATGTGCTAGCTAGGAGCTATGTGCTAGATAGGAGCTGTGTTAGCTAGGAGCTATGTGCTGGCTAGGAGCTATGTGCTAGCTAGGAGCTATGTGCTAGCATGGAACATATTACTCTGCTAGCTAGAAGCTATGTGCTTGCATGGCACATATTAGTCTGCTAGCTAGGAGCTATGTGCTAGATAGGAGCTATGTGCTAGCATGGCACATATTCCTCGGCTAGTTAGGATCTATGTGCTAGCATGACACACATTAGTCTGCTAGCTAGGAGCTATGTGCTAGCATGGCACATATTACTCGGCTAGCTAGGAGCTATGTGCTAGCATAGCACATATTACTCGGCTAGCTAGGAGCTATGTGCTAGCATGGCACATATTAGTCTGCTAGCTAGGAGCTATGTGCTAGATAGAAGCTATGTGTTAGCATGGCACATATTCCTCGGCTAGCTAGGATCTATGTGCTAGCATGACACACATTAGTCTGCTAGCTAGGAGCTATGTGCTAGCATGGCACATATTAGTCTGCTAGCTAGGAGCTATATGCTAGCATGGCACATATTAGTCTGCTAGCTAGAAGCTATGTGCTGGCATGGCACATATTAGTCGCTAGCTAGGCATGGCTAGATAGGAGCTATGTGCTAGCATGGCACATATTCCTCGGCTAGTTAGGATCTATGTGCTAGCATGACAATTAGTCGCTAGCTAGGAGCTATTGCTAGCATGGCACATATTACTCGCTAGCTAGGAGCTATGTGCTAGCATGGCACATATTATCTGGCTAGCTAGGAGCTATATGCTAGCATGGCACATATTAGTCTGCTAGCTAAGAGCTATGTGCTAGCATGGCACATATTATGTCTCTAGCTAGAGCTATGTGCTAGCATGCACATATTACTCGGCTAGCTAGGATCTATGTGCTAGCATGACACATATTAGTACTTGGCTAGTAGGAGCTATGTGCTAGCATGGCACATATTCCTCGGCTAGCTAGATCTATGTGCTAGCATGCACAATTAGTCTGCTAGCTAGGAGCTATGTGCTAGCATGGCACATATTAGTCTGCTAGCTAGGAGTATTGCTAGCATGGCACATATTAGTCTGCTAGCTAGGGCTAGTAGTAGGAGCTATGTGCTGAGCATGGTACATATTACTCGGCTAGCAGGAGCATATGCTAGCATGCACATATGTGCTAGTAGGAGCTATGTGCTAGCATGGCACATATTCCTCTGCTAGTAGGCTATGTGCTAGCATGGCACATATTAGTCTGCTAGCTAGGAGCTATGTGTTAGCATGGCACATATTAGTCTGCTAGCTAGGAGCTATGTGCTAGCATGGCACATATTACTCGGCTAGCTAGGAGCTATGTGCTAGCATAGCACATATTAGTCTGCTAGCTAGGAGCTATGTGCTAGCATGGCACATATTAGTCTGCTAGCTAGGAGCTATCTGCTAGCTAGCCATATTACTCGGCTAGCTAGGGTATGTGCTAGCATGCACATATTAGTCTGCTAGCTGGAGCTATGTGCTATGGAGCTATGTGCCAGCATGCACATATTAGTCTGCTAGCTAGGAGCTATGTGCTAGCATGGCACATATTAGTCTGCTAGCTAGGAGCTATGTGCTTGCATAGCACATATTAATCTGCTAGCTAGGAGCTATCTGCTAGCATAGCACATATTACTCGGCTAGCTAGCAGCTATGTGCTAGCATAGCACATATTAGTCTGCTCGCTAGGAGCTATCTGCTAGCATAGCACATATTACTCGGCTAGCTAGCAGCTATCTGCCAGCATAGCACATATTAGTCTGCTAGCTAGGAGCTATGTGCTAGCATGGCACATATTAGTCTTCTAGCTAGAAGCTATGTGCTTGCATAGCACATATTAGTCTGCTAGCTAGGAGCTATCTGCTACCATAGCACATATTATCTGGCTAGCTAGCAGCTATGTACTAGCATAGCACATATTAGTCTGCTCGCTAGGAGCTATCTGCTAGCATAGCACATATTACTCGGCTAGCTATCAGCTATGTGCTAGCATAGAACATATTAGTCTGCTAGCTAGGAGCTATGTGCTAGATAGGAGCTATGTGCCAGCATAGCACATATTAGTCTGCTAGCTAGGAGCTATGTGCTAGCATGGCACATATTAGTCTGCTAGCTAGGAGCTATGTGCTTGCATAGCACATATTAGTCTGCTAGCTAGGAGCTATCTGCTAGCATAGCACATATTACTCGGCTAGCTAGCAGCTATGTGCTAGCATAGCACATATTAGTCTGCTAGCTAGGAGCTATTGTGCTAGTTTTAGGAGCTATGTGCCAGCATAGCACATATTAGTCTGCTAGCTAGGAGCTATGTGCTAGCATAGTACATATTAGTCTGCTAGCTAGGAGCTATGTGCTAGCATAGCAGATATTAGTCTGCTAGCTAGGAGCTATGTGCTAGCATGGCACATATTAGTTTAATAAAAAATCCATTCGCTTGCGTGGTCTTCAATCACCATCTGAAAAAACAGTTCAAGGAACCAGGACCCCAGTCTACTATCAGGACAGTGACCCGCACAGTATCACGGCTAGTGACCCCCAGTCACAGCATCAAGGAACAGTATCTCAGTCCAGTATAGGAACAGTGACCCCATCAAGTATCAAGGAACATGATACTCAGTCACAGTATCAAGAACATGATCTCGCCAGATAAGAATAGTGATCCAGTCAGTATCAAGGAACATGACCTCAGTCACATTATCAGGAACAGTGATCCCCAGTCAGCAGTATAAGAACATGACCCCAGTCATCTAGTATCAGGAACTAGGAATCCCGTCCTTACATAGGAACGTGATCCTCAGTCACAGTATCAGGACAGTGATCCAGTCACAGTACAGGAACGTGATCCAGTCAGTTCAAGGACAGTGATACGTCCAGCTATCAAGGAACAGTGATCCTCATCACAGTATCAAGAATCAGTGACCCCCAGTCACAGTATCAATGAACATGATCCGTCACATTATCAGGAACATGTCCCAGTCACATTATCATGTGACAGGATCCGTCACATTATAAGTAACAGTGATCCCAGTCACAGTATCAGGAACATTGATCCCAGCATCACATATCAAGGTAACTAGTGAGCAGTACATACAAGGACAGTGATTCCAGTCAATTAGTCAAGGAACAGTGATGCCCGTCACAGTATCAAGACAGTGATCCCAGTCCAGTCATCAAAGACTAGTGATCCCATCACATATAAGAACGTGATCCCCAGCCAGGTGCTAGAACGTTGATCCCCAGTCACATATATCAAGAACAGTGATCCCCAGCCACATGTGTCATAGGAACATGATCCAGCACAGTGTCAGGAACAGTGATCCAGCCACAGTGTCAAGACAGTGATCCTAGTCACAGTATCAAATAACATGATCCCCAGTGCACAGTGATCCTAGTCGTACTAGGATATGGCAGTCACAATAGCCTATAGGACTATGCCAGCAACATATCAAGAAAATGATCCCAGTCCAGTTCAATGGAACAGTGATCCAGTCACAGTATCAAGGAACAGTGATCCCCAGCCACAGTGTCAAGGAACAGTGATCCCCAGCCACAGTGTCAAGGAACAGTGATCCCCAGTCACAGTATCAAAGAACAGTGATCCCCAGGAACAGTGATCCTCAGTCACAGTATCAAGGAACAGTGACCCCCAGTCACAGTATCAAGGAACAGTGACCCCCAGTCACAGTATCAAGGAACAGTGATCCCAGTCACAGTATCAAGGAACAGTGATCCTCAGTCACAGTATCAAGGAACAGTGATCCCAGTCAGTATCAAGGAACAGTGATCCCCAGTCACAGTATCAAGGAACAGTGATCCCCAGTCACAGTATCAAGGAACAGTGATCCCCAGTCACAGTATCAAGGAACAGTGATCCCCAGTCACAGTAACAAGGAAGTGATCCCAGTCACAGTATCAAGGAACGGTGATCCCCAGTCACATTATCAAGGAACAGTGATTCCCAGTCACAGTATCAAGGAACAGTGATCCCAGTCACAGTATCAAGGAACAGTGATCCCAGTCACAGTATCAAGGAACAGTGATCCCCAGTCACAGTATCAAGGAACAGTGATCCCGCCACAGTATCAAGGAACAGTGATCCTCAGTCACAGTATCAAGGAACAGTGATCCCCAGTCACAGCATCAAGGAAGTGATCTCCAGCCACAGTATCAAGGAACAGTGATCCCCAGTCACAGTATCAAGGAACAGTGATCCCCAGTCACATTCCTTGAGACTAATGATCACGACAGCAACTGCTATCACCGTTCACTGCCGTTATATTGCATGTCAAGATAACGTTTATGTCACCCATTTCTGCATAAACAATGGTCCAGTCGAAATAATGTTGTATAATTGTATACCATCACGTATAAATTACACTATTATCACTAGAGTGAGAAGTTGTCATGACTGATCCAGAACTAATCCTTGTGGAACCATTCGTCACATGAATCATTCGCACCTCACACGGATCTCACATGTATTAATTGTGTTGAGCGCTGTTGACGCAGCGCAGGCGCAGGAATCAACGGCGGACCTCCAGTAAGTGAACAGACTGTGGTTTGCCAGCCACTGTAGTTGTAAGCAGGCAGCGTGTCGAGCCGATCAGGAACGGTTGATCTTCCTGAGGCGAGGCTAGAGGCCACAGTATCACACCCAGGCCACATGTGTACACCTCCACCCGCAGGGTACATTATTATGTTACATGTTATCTAGGCAATATTCGCTACATTGCAAGGTGTGTATACTATCGTGATCAGTACATAGTGGAAACGAAACTAGCTGTGATTTTGTCCTGTCGCTTTTAGTCACAGTTCAGTAGGTCAGGTGAGCTGGGAGACTCAGTAAGTGTCACCAGAACTAGGACTTCAGTAGTTCAGGAAGCTGGTGAACCTTCAGTAGTGTCACAGAACGAGACTTCGTATCTCAGCTAAGCTGGAGACTTCAGTAGGTCACCAGGAACTGGATACCTTCAGTCATGTCAGGCTAAGCTGGGAACTTCAGTAGTGTCCACCAGAATCTGAGACTTATGGATCAGGCTAAGCGGGAGACTGCTAGTGTCACCGTTCAACTGGCTTCGTGTGTAGTGACTGGGGATGTCAAAAGGGTAAGTGAGTATATGTCAACACATTTCATTAAAGATCATCAGTACGGGTCATCAAGATTTTCGTTATAGTATAATGGTTAACTACACTTAGGAATTACATCTCTCAGGATAAACAGTGCTGGAAATATGTATACAACTAAAACTATATGCTATGTAACATTCGCAGCATCAAGCCATCCACACTTATTTCAGAGATCACAACAATGGAAATATTAGCCTGAACCCTTTCGTGAGGGATTAGTCACACGTCTCAGAGCGATTACAGAAATTGCATATTTTCACTTTTTTGAGGTGTTCTAAGCATTTGTTATGAAATCATGGTACAGTAAGAAGGGTGGCAGCCGATGAAAACTGGAGTGAAAGGAGATACAGGCTCTAAAATTGATACTGAGGCTAGGTGTCAGGACAGCGAGACAGGGTTACTGCATGAGAAAACCCGGGCAGAACCACGTCTGTCGATCACTCCTGTATTCACTTGTAGCTGAGGAAGGATATACATATATCTCTTGTTCTTTCTTCTGCAGGCAAAAATTTACATTTGCAGTGATGCTGTTAAACTATGACTGGTCCTGATAGATTACATAGTAAACGAAATGCCACGCTGTTGTTTTTGCTTCGACCATTTTATCACACGGTTCATCAGGTACTACTGTCAGCTGAGCCTGGGGACTTCAGTGTGATAACCAGTAACTGAGAGACTTCAGTAGTGTCAGGCTAAGCTGGGAGACTTCAGTAGTGTCAACCAGAACTGAGACTTCAGTAGTGTCAGGCTAAGCTGGGAGACTTCAGTAGTGTCAACCAGAACTGAGACTTCAGTAGTGTCAGGCTGAGCTGGGAGACTTCAAAAGGGTAGTGAGAATATCGTCAAACATTTCATTAAAGATCCATCAGCTACGGGATCATCAAGATTTTCGTTATAGTATAACATGAGTTACTATCACTAGGGAATTACCATCTCTCAGGATAAACAGGCTGGATAATATGTATACAAATAAAATACTATGCTATTAAATCGCAGCATCAAGCCACTACAAGTTATTTCAGAGATCACAACAAAGAAATATAGCCTGAACTCTTTCGTGTGATTAGTCACACGTCTTCAGAAGCAGATTTACAAGAAATTCGCAATATTTTCACTTTTTTTGAGGTTTCTAAGCATTTTTTATGAAATTCCATGACAGATAAGAAGGGAGTGGCAGCCGATGAAAACTGAGAGGAAAAGGGAGATAACAGGCCTTAAAATTGATACTGAGGCTACTGGTGTCCAGACAGCTGAGACAGGGTTACTGCATGGAGAAAACCCGGGCCAGAACCCGTCCTGGCGATCCTTCCTGTACTTCTACTTGTAGCTGAGGAAAGAGCATCATACCATATATCTCTTAGTCTCTCTACCATCGTCTCTGCCCACACCCTCGTCATGAAAATTACAGTTCTGCATTGAAGACAGAAGTTCCAAACAAAATGAAGAGATGGACTGTGTATCCCCTGATAGTATTACTACTACTACTACTACTACTCCATGACCACGATCACTGTTGCTACTATTGCTATCACCACTATAACTACTACGACAACTACTGTTACCATCACCGTGACTACTACTGTTACCACAGCTGCTACTGCGCCCGGGGACGTACATTGTGATACCAGTCAACGCGATGGATGGCGGGATTGGCACGGACAGAACACTCTAAGATGACGTCTTGACCCTCCTTGATGATACTCGCGTCCAGATGACGACTCAGCGAAAGATTCACTACTGGGGTGTCTGCAACAATACATGAGACAGTGACAAGCCTCAGTAGGTGAAGCCTACAGTGAGTGAAACCTTGTAAGTATGAAGCCTCCAGTGAGTGAAACCTTGTATGAAGCCTCCAGTGAGTGAAACCTTATAAGTATGAAGCCTTCAGTGGTGAAACCTTGTAAGTATGAAGCCTCCAGTGAGTGAAACCTTGTAAATATGAAGCTTCTATTCAGTGAAACTTTGTATATATGAAGCCTCCAGTGGTGAAACCTTATAAATATGAAGCCTCCAGTGAGTGAAACCTTATAAATATAAAGCCTCCAGTGAGTGAAACATTGTATATATGAAACCTCAAGTAGGGGATGAAGCCTTGTGCATATATATGAAACCTCCAGTAGGGAACGCCGAAAGCTTGCATACACACAAACGAAACCTCCAACCCTCAGTGGGCGAAACGTCGCGGTACTCACAGAAGACGTCGAGCTTGACGGAGTGGGCGAGAGGGGCGTGCGGCAGGAGAGGGTTGGCGGCAGTACAGACCAGCGTCGCCCCGTCCAAGTCCCGCGTCACCGCCAGCGTCAGCGTCGCGCTTGTAACGTTCCCTCCGCCCTCCAGCTGATGTAACACACTCCGTATGTTTAGACTCACGAAATTGAAGGAGGGAGGGGAGAGGGAAGTGTTCTTGATCCAAGGGGAATTTGAGCTATCCTGCACTTCTATGGTTCAAACCTTATTATAACTTTTACGCAATATAGCATCTGTAATAATGATAATAATAGCAGTAACAAAAATAGCAGGCAAACACTAAACTAAGTCACAGTGAATTTGTTCAGACTCACAGAGACCTCGGGTTCAATCCCGCAAGGAGATTCGAGCCTGCAGTGTTTCACACACACACACACACACACGCCGCAGTAAAGGAACGATACTCACGGCGTAGGAGACCTGCTTCAGGCGAGTGTGTGCCCTCCACCAGGTGAGCTCTGCCGGCGGGTGGGAACCCACGGAGCGGCACACCAGCTTCACTGTCTTACCAGCGGACACAGGACCTCCAGAGCCAAGAATTTTAACCTCTAGCGGAGGCACTGTTGACAGAGACTAATGACACTCACGAGGAAATATGTACACAGTAACCTATCATTTATAAAACTCCCTTTCATAGTGCTTTTCTTACGACTGGCAACGTACGTCCGGTACTAAACGTACTGCCTCTGTAATAGATGTAATGTACGCGAAACGTTTCAACAACAAGGGTACCCAGCTGTTGCATGTATGTCTTAATCATTAACTGAACTAAGTATACCTATGTACTACACTTTTTTTTTTCAACAAGTCGGTCGTCTCCCACCGAGGCAGGGTGACCCAAAAAAGAAAGAAAATCCCCAAAAAGAAAATACTTTCATCATCATTCAACACTTTCACCACACTCACACATTATCACTGCTTTTGCAGAGGTGCCCAGAATACAACAGTTTAGAAGCATATACGTATAAAGATACACAACATATCCCTCCAAACTGCCAATATCACAAACCACTCCTTTCAAGTGCAGGCATTGTACTTCCCATTTCCAGGACTCAAGTCCGACTATATGAAAATAACCGGTTTCCCTGAATCCCTTCATAAATATTACCCTGTCACACTCCAACAGATCGTCAGGTCCCAAGTATCATTCGTCTCCATTCACTCCTATCTAACACGGTCATGCCCCGCTTGCTGGAAGTCCAAGCCCCCCGCCCACAAAACCTCCTTTACCCCCCCTTTCCAACCCTTTCGAGGACGACCCCTACCCCTCTTTCCCTTCCCCTATAGATTTATATGCTTTCCATGTCATTCTACTTTGATCCCTTCTCTTTTAAATGACCAAACCACCTCAACAACCTCTTCTGCCCTCTGATAATGCTTTTATTAACTCCACAAACCCCCTAATTTCCACACCCGAATTTTCTGCATAATAATTTACACCACACATTCCCTTAAGCTGACATCTCCACTGCCTCCAACCGTCTCCTCGCTGCTGCATTTACCACCCAAGCTTTACATCCATATAAGTGTTGGGTACTACTATACTTTCATACATTCCCTTCTTTGCCTCCATAGATAACGTTTTTTGACTCCACATATACCTCAACGCACCATCACCTTTTTTCCCTCATCAATTCTATGATTAACCTCATCCTTCATAAATCCATCCGCCGACACGTCAACTCCCAAGTATCTGAAAACATTCACTTCTTCCATACTCCTCCTCCCCAATTTGATATCCAATTTTTCTTTATCTAAATCATTTGATACCCTCATCACCTTACTCTTTTCTATGTTCACTTTCAACTTTCTACCTTTACACACATTCTCAAACTCATCCACTAACCTTTGCAATTTTTCTTTAGAATCTCACATAATATTTAAAACCAATTTATATTTCTCTCACGCAGAATATTTAAAAAAAAAACTAGACTAACAATTAACTTTGTCTTTCTTTAACCTTTGTTTTTCACAGAAAGACACAGGGGACTCACAGGTGATGTTGAGCGTCACGGAGACAGAATGGGGCTGCAAGACAGCTGTGTGGTGGGCTGGACGGCTGTGTGGTGGGCTGGGATGGCTGTGTGGTGGGCTGGGATGGTCGTACGGGCTTGACAGGTGAGGGTAGCACGCTGCATCTCCCTGGCTGCCACCACCACCAGCGTCGCGTCCACCGTGGCTTCTCCTGAAGAACACAACTCTTGTGTGTCAGTGTAATTACCAACAGTTACGTATATAAGACAATTAGTAATGCCACCTGGTGGGCGAAACCTCTCAGTAAAATGCCATCAACTACATACTGTGTCTTAAGAAAGTAATGTTGCAGACGCCTTTACGTTGGACCTGTGTATACATATTAAGGCATACATTGACCAAATGTGCACAGGAGTTGTACCGGTGTACATAAGTCTAAGGCGTTCACTTATACTTAAGTAATATAATGGAAGACTGCGTGCGCAGGTATTCGTTGTACCTGTGTTGGGAGTGGTTGATGTGAGCTGGGAGGGGAGCTTAGACCCCCGCCACCACCACGTCAAAACAGGTGGGGGTCGGCCGCCCACACTACGACACACAACCTGAAGGCGCTCACCTTCCCCAAGAGGTCCCAAGCCGCCCACTACGCCCACACCGCCCCACAACACCACGGGCGGTCCAGGGGTAACTGTGGGATGAATTCTTTTCATTAGTAACCCTTGTGGTGGTTAATTAAATCTGAAAGTTACTGTGTACACGAAAGTAATTAAGGCTACATGTTACCTGTCAACACCGCCAGTCAAATACAAGTACTCACTAAATTTTCACCTAATTGTGGTTTCAGGGGTCGATTCATAGCTCCTGGCCCCCGCCTCTTCACTGGTCGGTACTAGGTCACTCCCTCCCTGCTCCGTGAGCTTTATCATACCTCTTCTTGTAGCTATGTATGGATCCTGCCTCCACCACTTCCCTTTCCAGACTATTTCACTTCCCATCAACTCTATGACTGAAGAAATACTTCCTAACATCCCTGTGGCTCATCTGAGTCTTCAACTTTCAATTATGACCCCTTGTTGGTGTGTCCTATCTCTGAAAAATCCTTTCCCTGTCTACCCTGTCTATTCCTCCCAGCATTTTATCCCTCAGTGTATATGCAGTGTATATACACTGAGGGATGTCTATCTCTCTTTATATACCATCCTGGCGAAGATCATTATTTCCCAGATAACAGGCCAAGTATTTCTTAACATGGTTAAGATTTATCTAGCCCACATGTGCTACGTTTCGCCCTGTGTTTATAGTACAGAACATGGCTATCTAGATCATTTCAGACTGGTAACAGTCACGATTTGACTTGAGGATAGTCAGTAGACACGACTCACTGATGACCGTGAGGTTGACCAGGGAGGTAGTGGAGGGCGAGAGACGGTAGTCCACCCTGCAGGTGTACAGACCCTGGTCGTGGGCGTGGGTAGGCTCCAGCACTAGCGTGGGTGGTCTGGCGTGGGCGGCGAAGAAGGCCCGCCCACCCAGAACCTCTTGATCTGCCCACCTATCGCCAGTCTCGAAGTCTCCTGCCCTGGCATCGTAACTGTGGATAGGAAGGCAAGGCATCGTAACTGTGGATAGGAAGGCAAGGCATCGTAACTGTGGGTAGGGAACCAAGGCATCGTAACTGTGGGTAGGAATATAAAGGGGAATTATATCTCGTGGGTGGAAATTAAAGAGTAAAGATTATTTTACTGAAATAAAGTTTATAATAATCTTCGTAAATAATGACAAAAATTATAAAACAATAATTAGTTTATAAGGGTATTATAATTATTATTATTATTATTATTATTATTATTATTATTATTATTATATTATTATTATCATAAATAAGCTCTAAACCCATGAGGGTGTAATACAGTGTTTAGGGTAGTAAGTGTAGCTGTGACCTGTGATTGGACCTGCAGTTGCAGGACTGCGACCTGTGATTGGACCTGCAGTTGCAGGACTGCGACCTGTGATTGGACCTGCAGTTGCAGGACTGTGACCTGTGACTGGACCTGCAGTTGCAGGACTGTGACCTGTGACTGGACTTGCAGCTGCAGGATTGTGACCTGAGATTGAACCTGTAGTTGCAGGACTGTGACCTGTGATTGGACCTGAAGTTGCAGGACACCTAACGTCACTTCCCTCAGAGCAGGTTGACACAACTTACTCTGACCACGTGTCCTTCCCTGATCACGTGTCCTTCCATGACCACATATCTTTACCTTACCACATGTCCTTGTGTGGAAACGTGTCCTTGCCTGACCACGTGTCCTTGCCTGACCACGTGTCCTTGCCTGACCACGTGACCTTGCCTGACCACGTGGCCTTGCCTGACCACGTGTCCTTGCCTGACCACGTGGCCTTGCCTGACCACGTGGCCTTGCCTGACCACGTGTCCTTGCCTGACCACGTGGCCTTGCCTGACCACATGGCCTTGCCTGACCACGTGTCCTTGCCTGACCACGTGTCCTTGCCTGACCACGTGGCCTTGCCTGACCACGTGGCCTTGCCTGACCACGTGGCCTTGCCTGACCACGTGTCCTTGCCTGACCACGTGGCCTTGCCTGACGAATTTTGCGATGGTGGTGTTGGTGCAAGTGGTAGTAGTGAGGGTTGTGGTGGTAGCAGTGATGGTGGTGGTGGTAGTGATGGTGGTAATTGTGGTAATAGTGATGCTAGTGGTGGTAGTAGTGATGGTGGTGGTGGTGGTGGTGGTAGCAGTGATGGTGGTGGTACCTGTAGATAGGACGGGTGTTGCTGGAGAGGTACCACAGTACCAGGAGTGGCTGGTCCTCAGGTATCCTGGGTACGGGAACACAGGGTAGTTCTGCTCGACCTCCACTCACTGCCAATACCGAAGTCATATCTGAAGTCATACTTACATCTTAGAGACAGACCTGCTGTAGTCATGACCTTATAATAATAACAATAATAATAATAATAATATATATATATATATATATATATATATATATATATATATATATATATATATATATATATATATATATATATATATATATATTATATATATATATATATATATATATATATATATATATAAATATATATATATATATATATATATATATATATATATATATATATATATATATATATAATATATATATACATTTATATGTTCACACACGTCAGTCTGTGCACGTCAGAAGCTAGCTTTCAAGCTTTGAGTGCACCTGGTGGTGCACAGGTAATATGCAGCCTTAATGACCATCGTGCGGTAGACTTCAAACCTCCGCTTAACCAGCCTCGTGTCAGAGTAAACTCTTAACGGGGTGGATCACCATCTTCAATTATATTTTCCTGATGATAAAACTCCGCCAGTAACTTTGTTAAAGACGTGTGGCATACGTCTGGCAGCACGAGGGCACAGACTAAAATGTCGTACGTGCATTTTCACATGCTGGGTAACGACTGTGGAGATCGGGTTGAAACTTAGCGACGCATTGGTGCGGGAAAAAACGCACATATTACAGAAGACTGTTTGTCAAGTTATGTTTCGCTCTCTGCGCAGATCTTTATTAAGTCTTAGCTTAATAAAACTACACGAAGAGCGAAACATTATCATGACAAAAGCTCGTTTTACAACGTGTCTTTTCACTAGCGTCGTCACTACGACATTTCGACCCAGAAACATCAATGAAAAGTTAGTTGACGCAGCAGTAACGTCAAGAGACTGTTATTATCATTACTGTAACTGTAATTATTATTATTGTTATAATTATTATTATTATTATTATTATTATTATTATTATTATTATTATTATTATTATTATTATTATTATTATTATTGTTTTAATTATTATTTTATTATTATCAGTATTTTAATTATTATTATTATTAATTAAGCAATATATTATTTTTTCTAGTTTTAAAAGTATTTTTTACGAAATTTTTATGCAGTTATCGCACGTACCTGAGAGTGTGTCGGAGACTGTGTAGTGAACAGTGAGCAGCGGGAACAGTAACAACAGTGATGGTGCAGCTGCCATCACTGTACACCACCTCCTGCAATTTTACCAACGTCTCAAGGTATTCTTTGAGGATCTTGAAGACGTCTGAAGATATTCTTTGAGGATCTTGAAGACGTCTGAAGATATTCTTTGAGGATCCTGAAGACGTCTGAAGATATTCTTTGAGGATCTTGAAGACGTTTGATGGTATTCTTTGAGGATCTTGAAGACGTCTGAAGATATTCTTTGAGGATCTTGAAGACGTTTGATGGTATTCTTTGAGGATCTTGAAGACGTCTGAAAGTATTCTTTGAGGATCTTGAAGACGTTTGATGGTATTCTTTGAGGATCTTGAAGACGTCTGAAGGTATTCTTTGAGGATCTTGAAGACGTCTGAAGATATTCTTTGAGGATCTTGAAGACGTCTGAAGATATTCTTTGAGGATCTTGAAGGCGTTTGATGGTTTTCTTTGAGGATCTTGAAGACGTCTGAAGGTATTCTTTGAGGATCTTGAAGACGTCTGAAGATATTCTTTGAGGATCTTGAAGACGTCTGAAGATATTCTTTGAGGATCTTGAAGGCGTTTGATGGTTTTCTTTGAGGATCTTGACGTTTGATGGTATTCTTTGAGGATCTTGAAGACGTCTGAAGGTATTCTTTGTGGATCTTGAAGACGTCTGAAGATATTCTTTGAGGAACTTGAAGACGTCTGAAGATATTCTTTGAGGATCTTGAAGACGTTTGATGGTATTCTTTGAGGATCTTGACGTTTGATGGTATTCTTTGAGGATCTTGAAGACGTTTGATGGTATTCTTTGAGGATCTTGAAGACGTCTTAAGGTATTATCTGAGGATGTTAAGTCGTCAGAATGCGTGTGTAAGATCACTCAGTATCTAATCACTTGAATAAACACTCAATTTATACGAGTGAAAAGTCACAATACCGAGGCTGGAACAATTCGCAACTAACCCCACTTTGGAAAGGGCATTTTTGGTCAGCCCTGGACCATTTACAGACTCAAAAGCTCTTTTTGGACCATTATTATGGTCCTTTCCGTAAATTATGCATCAAGCCTCAACTCAAAATTTCTCTTTCAGTCCACCGAAAATTGACCCCCGTGTTCTAATTTATCCATTAATATACTATATCAAAAGTTCAAAATGCTTATCACGTTCAAAACTGATGCAATAATAGCACTTATAACGAGGGGAGAAGCCTCATAGATGTTGTGTGCGGAGGAGCGGCACACAACCTCCCCCTCCCACGGCTCGTGTGACACTGATGGCTTGGTATCCCTTCATTCCCTTGCCCTGGCCTAGGGGATAGCGGCTTTGGGTCACAACTGACGGACTCGGGTTCGATTCCGAGTATGTTTCCAAGCACTTTTTACCCACTGTTGACGTAGCAATAAGTAGGTACCTGGGTGTTAGGCATCTGTTGTGAGAGACATCCCGGGAAAGATGCTGGTAGAACTTTGTTTACCAATGTAAAATAAATAGTATTCCAAGGATTTTTGGATATCATACAGTGTATTTATACAATGTATATACACTGAGAGGTTTATGTCTCTCAGTGTATATACACTGGTAGGTTAATCCCTTTTTTAGGTATTAAAGTATTCTTGACTGGACTTATCAACGAATTCTCCCGACTGTCGTTCATTAACTATTATGTGCAGCCTAAGAGTAATAAACCTTCACAATTCCGAATTTCTGTAAAGAAAAAATTTTTAGATACTTAAAATTAGGAAGCAATGGTGTAAATTACTTTGAGCTAGTTGCCCACTAGTTATTATTCGTAACTATTTAAACTTTTAGGGATCATGTACCGCCATTTTTGTGTTTGAATTATAGTATACAGGTTCACCTGTTCGAATTTGAATTCGAATTCGTTAGTGAGCCGCGCCTCGGCTACTCTCGTAGACCTTCCCGGGTGACACAGGTGTCACAGATGTCGGGTGTCACGACCCGTCTATGGCACTGGTGTCAAACGCACTGTTGTCTAGAGTCACTCATTGGTTGATCACCTCCCGACAACTCCCGCTGGCCAGAGCAAAAAACAAATGAACGATGCTCCTTGAGCATTACCTTTATACCTTTGATATACCGTTGATAAGTTTCGAGAGTCTTACTACTCCAGGCGCCCGGCCATGGGCCAGCTTGCCTAGTCGACCAGGCAGTTGCTGTTGGTGGTCCACTGACCCACATTCCATCACAGCCTGGTTGATCTGGCACCTGGTGAAGATACTTGTCCAGTTTCCACTTGAAGACTTCTACATTTGTTCCAGCAGTGATTCTGATACCTTCTGGTAAGATGTTAAATAATCTGGGGCCACGAATGTTGATACAGTGTTCCCTTATCGCTCCCACTGCGCCCCTGCTTTTCACTGGGTTTATTTTGCACTTCCTCCAGTATTTCTCGCTCCAGAATGTTATTGCATTTGCATATACAGCAAAATATTACCCTTATTTACGCAATAAATTTCCAAAATTAATCAAAATAAACTGACAATACGAGAATATCTCATTAAACTCACGTCTGGGTGATACGTGGACACCAGTTTTTTTTCATTTGAGTTTAAGCCTGGCAACATAAGGAAGGTAGAGATGACTGTCATGTAAGAAAAAAGCCGACTGAAACTATAAATAAAGAACCAATATGCGGGTTTCGTGACGCGATGGTGTGATGGTTGTGAGATAAGAGGTGGGAAGCGGCGGTCGGTAAGGGGTCTGTGTGAGTCTACGTGGGGCTGTGAGAGTCTGTAAGGCTTTGTAAGGGTCTGTGTGGGTCTGTTTGAGAGTGTGTAAGCTCTGTCAGGGGCTGTGAGGGGTCTATTTGAGTCTGTTTGGGGCTGTGAGAGGCTGTAAGGATCTTTGTGGGACTGTGAGTGTCTGTGTGGGTCTGTGTTAGATCTGTGTGGGTCTATGAGATTCCGCGAGAGGTCTCTGTGAGTCTGTGTGAAGGCTGTGAGAGGCTATAAGGCTCTGGTCTGTGTTGAGTCTGTGAGGGGGCTGAGGAGCTATTAGAGGCTTTGAGGTACTATCAGGGTTGTGAGGAGGTAAGAGGAGCTGTGAGGAACTGAACTGATGATTCAGAGTTCTCGTGAGTGTGCAAACCCTCTTTCTTTAATTAACAACAATGACAAGGCAACAGGAAGATAAAGAAAATCTTCGCCTGGTTGTGTGTGTGTGGTGTGAGAGAGAGAGAGAGAGAGAGAGTAGGTCTATCTCTATAGACGTTGACCTTTAAGAAAGGTGAAGGAGAGTAGACATCTTTGAGTTGAAATGAAGTCAATGTTAGAGAAGGTGATGGAGAATCTACTTTTGTGACTAGTAGCCTAGGTGAACTAGCCCAGTTGAGATCAGAATAAGACCCGCCTAGGAATTCTATCCGGCCCGTCACTGCGTCTAGCAATTTAGGAAAATTTATAGTGCCTCCATTTCAAAAAAGAATTCATTCTTGATTTGATTATGTCCCATTCAGCAGCGGGAGTTGGGCAGTCACGCCAGCAACACTAGGCAACACTAAATAATATAGCTTTTTATAGACCGAGGATACATCTTAGCTTGATTTCAGAACATATACGTTACTTTCGTTCCCTTTTCTTTATCCTGGCGCCACCTGTGAGGTCGATTCACAGCTCTCGGTCCCTCCTGGTAGCCAGTGAGTTTTATCTTGCTGTCTTCTTTTGTTTTCTCTGTTTACTTATGACGTAGGAGGGTATATGTCACTTCATTTCCTGTCTTCTACACAGGATATATACGTTAAGAGATGTATATCTCTCAGCGTATATACTGGAAGTATATATATTGGGAGTATAATCACAGTTTTAGGGAATAATGTTTTCTTGTCTGGTGGGGAGAAGGTTACGTGCTTAATGACTCTCATGTAATCGATAGGTTTCAAACCTTGTGAACCAAGTGATTCATACCTGGATCACTCCATCTACCGTCACTCACCTGGATCACTCCATCTACCGTCACTCACCTGGATCACTCCATCTACCGTCACTCACCTGGATCACTCCATCTACCGTCACTCACCTGGATCACTCCATCTACCGTCACTCACCTGGATCACTCCACTACCGTCACTCACTGGATCACTCACTACCGTCACTCACCTGGATCACTCCACCTACCGTCACTCACCTGGATCACTCCATCTACCGTCACTCACCTGGATCACTCCATCTACCGTCACTCACCTGGATCACTCCATCTACCGTCACTCACCTGGATCACTCCATCTACCGTCACTCACCTGGATCACTCCATCTACCGTCACTCACCTGGATCACTCCACCTACCGTCACTCACCTGGATCACTCCACCTACCGTCACTCACCTGGATCACTCCACTACCGTCACTCACCTGGATCACTCCACCTACCGACACTCACCTGCATGATCACTCCACCTACCGTCACTCACCTGGATCACTCCACCTACCGTCACTCACCTGGATCACTCCACCTACCGTCACTCACCTGGATCACTCCACCTACCGTCACTCACCTGGATCACTCCACCTACCGTCACTCACCTGGATCACTCCAACTACCGCATCACCTGGATCACTACCTACCGTCACTCACTGTCTCACCTACCGTCACTCACCTGGATCACTCACCTACCGTCACTCACCTGGATCACTCACCTACCGTCACTCACTATCACTCCACTAGATCACGGATCACTCCACCTACCGTCACTCACCTGGATCACTCCACCTACCGTCACTCACCTGGATACACTTGCACCATGACCGTCACTACCTCAGTGTATCTCCTCTCTGAGTGAAGTTCAACATACATTTATTGAATTGATATATTGTTCATCATGAGTTCGTCTTAAACCTACTTGTAATCACTATCAGTCTATCATAAACTGTTCTACGCACAGATAGAAGACAGGAATTTGTTCTATTATTAAGCCTCCACAGCACAGTTTCTATCGGGAAACATGTGAGTGTTGCAGAACTTGTCTAAGTTGGTAATGTTGCAATCCAGTCAACATAACTGCCCATGAAATAGATACTTTTGCAACATTTTGGTATCTTTAATGTGGAAACGTTTCACCAGTATGTGGCTTCCTCAGT